CATTGTATATATATATATATATATATATATATATATATATATATATATATATATGTATACCACATCTTCTTTATCCAATCATCTGTCGGTGGACACTTGGGTTGCTTCCACATCTTGGCTATAGTGAATAATGCTGCAATGAACATAGGGGTGCATATGCCTCTTTGGATTGTTGATTTCAAGTTCTTTGGATAAATACGCAGAAGTGGGATGGCTGGATCATAAGATATTTCTATTTTTAGTTTTTTGAGGAATCTCCATACTGTTTTCCATAGAGGCTGCACCAGTTTGCATTCCCACCAGCAGCGAATGAGATTTCTTGTGTTTTTGATAATAGCCGTTCTAAGAGATGTGAGGTGATGTCTCATGGCGGTTTTGATTTGCATTTCCCTGAAGGTTAGTGCTGTTGAGCCCCTTTTCATGTGCCTGTTGGCCAGCTGTATGTCTTCTGTCTCTGATTCTCTAGGGGCCTGGTGGAGAAAGGCCTCACTGAGCCTCCTTGGGTGGGTGAGCCTGGGGAGGGGACACACTGGGACCTTCTCTTGGCTGAGAGAAGACTAAATGATGGTGGACTGTGTGCGTGGTGGCCTGTGGGTGTGAGCAGGGGTTGGGGCAGGGCTGGGTAGCCTGGCCACAGCACACACAGGGCTGACTCCAGCAGGTTACAAAGGTTGGAGCTGCCCTCGACCCTGGGGATAGGCCTGACCCTGCGAGCCCTGCCCTCCAGAGCTCGACCATTTTCCTGCTGTCCAGGGGCCCAGGGCCAGTGTGGGTCTGGTGGAGGTGGGCGTGATGCTGCCAGCACCATGTCTCTCCCAACAGGCCAGGCTGTCCTCTGGCAGTGTCCCCGTGCTAGCCCAGCCCCGGCTCGGCTGTTCCCAGCTGGGTCACTTCAACGCTGGGTCACTATTCATTGTGAGGTGGGCTAGGGCGGTTAGTTACCAGGAGCAGAGTGCTGGCGTTGGCCTTCCCATGTTTTTTCTGGGGTTGGGAAGCCGTGGTGGAGGGCAGCAGCTGGCCCCTGGGAACCCTGCTTTATCCCCGGTCAGTTCACGACTGGGGATTTATGAGTTGCTGGAATGTTTTGCATTTCCCTGCAAACCCTTTCTCTGGGTGGGCCATGTGAGGCTAAGCACAGGGAGGAAGGCATGATGTCACCGGCACCCTGCCAGGAGGGTCATCTGCCAGGCATGGCAGCAGAGAGCCCAGGGCCTCGGCCTGCGCACAGCAGGTTGGCCCTACAGCTGGCTGTTGAGTGGAGGGTGGATGACAGACTGAAGACACCCCAGTTCCAGGCAGCGCGCCTCTGACTCTGCAGATGGCCTCTGGGGGAGGAGTGTCGCCAAGAAGCTGGCTGTTTTTTTAGCCTCAGAGCCATGCGGCATGTGGCAGCCTGTGGCCCGTGGCAGTTAACGGGCAGGTTGGCTAAAGGCGTTTTGCATTGTGGTGATTACGCAGCTTTGGGGACTGGCAGGCAGCTTCCGCACACGACGCAGGGCCCGGGGTCATGGGGAGCAGGCGGGGGTCACGGGGGAGCTTTTCTCTGCAGGCCTCTCCTGAGTGGCTTCATCATCAACATACCCTGTGGGGGGCTCAGTGAGTGTCATGCCTCTGTCTTCTCCCCGAGGGGCTCTGCGAGTTTGGCCCCCAGGGTGATCTCTGCATTTCTTTTCTGGGGGCTCTTGGATGACCCCTGCCCCTCCCGGGTCATCCTGCACCGTATTGACACGATAACCCCTCTCTACAGTCCGGAACTTCTGGGGGACCCATTTGCCTGTGAGATGAGAACTGGCCTCCGAGGTTGGTGTTTGATGCTCAGCATGGTTTCAGCGGCATGTTCTGCATGTTCCGCTGCTTCCCTTCTGCCGTAGCTGGTGTCTTTGACCCCATCCCAGTGCTCCCCCCCCACAGAGTCCTTTCTCAGTCTTTAAAGCTCCTTGTATTTATCCTCCCCTTTCTTTAAGGCTGTGTTTGAGGCCCATGTCCTTGGTTTCCTGGCCGCAGTGCCATTTCCAGTCTCTGGAATGGTATGCCTTCGTGGGGCCAGGCAGGCTTCTAGAGGGGGCAGGAGGGAATGATTGTGAAAACTGCAGAAACAAGACAAACTGAGAAGAGTGTGGTTACTCGGAGTTCAGGGATGTCTCTCCCAGTTGGGTTTTGAAGAATGAATAGGAGTTTATCAGTAAGATTCTGGAGGAACAAAAAAGAGAAGGACTCAAACATTGGCATGGAGGGGATGAGGCACTGACAGCGTGGGGTCTTGGGGTGTGATAGAGGTGAGGCTGCAGCAAAGGGCAGGGCCCGGGACTGGGAGCTTGCTCGCCTCCCACACTGTGGTCCAGAGTTGATGACCCTGTCATGTAGCACCGTGCTTCCATGTGCCCCATTAGAGTCCCTGGCTGTAGGTGAGGGCAGGCACAGGTGTGGTTTGGCCTGGGTGTTATCCGCATGGACCATGACGCCCTGCTCCATCGGTTTCTGAGTGGGCCCACAGTGGGTGGAGCAGGCCTGTGTTTGGAGGCCTCCACTGGGTGGCCCGCTCTGGGCAGGAAACATGGCGGCAGCCATCAATGTTAAAGCTCAAGGAACCTCATAAGTCATGGGCGTCAGTGTCCTCATTTGACATGATAGGGAGACCCTTGTGCAGGTGTGGGAGGTGGGGCCTGAACCCCGATATCTCAGTGCTGCCATCATCCTCTGAGGTGAAGAGACTGAGGCATGGGTGGGTTCCTTAGTCTTCAGGCTGCAGGTGGCAGAGTGAGGGTGTGAGCCAGGTGTCTCTGCGGTCCAGCTCCACGCAGACATCCAGGCGATGGCCCACGCGAGGTGGGTGCTGCTCTGCAGGCCGCGGGCTGAGTGCTGGTGCCCCCATGTGTCAGGGGAAACGATGTCATTTGCACATGGGATGGCTTGTACTGTGCACCCACATGTGCACATGGTCACCCTTTCTTTGAAAAGGCTTTGTTTAGTGTATTTTGTAGAATTCTTCCACCACCATGTGCAGCACACATGATTTTAAGATAAACAACCCAAAGGACACCAAGCTCTGTATCTTGTGTAGCATTTTGCTTCTTTGGAAAACCAAGTGGGGAACAGAACTTTGAAGAATGTGCTTCATTTCCTGTCAGAGCAAATGAGACCTGAAATATTAATGCCGCGGGATTTCCCGTATCTTCCTCCAAAAGGGTTTGAGAAATGCATTCCCCTTGCTCTGGGACTGAGGCCCAGCTGCTCCCCACCTCAAATCGTCAGTTGTCTGTGCTTGCTGAACCCCGGGTAGAAACAAGAGGGCTCACTTGAAAACCTGGGGAGACTTATGATCCCCTTGGGACTCTGATTTTCAAAATGTCCGGCCACACTGCAGAACCCTCAAGTTCTGATCCCGGGTTCTGAGCTGCTTTCGAGGTTATGGCGCAGGGAGCTGATGGCCCCTTATGTGAGTGAGCGATCCGTCCCGTGGGTGGGTGACCGCCCCTCTGTTCATAAACGGGTGGCTTGTGTGCTCAGCCCGCTGATGCTCTGTTTGTGCTCTTTCCTTTCAGTCTCCAGAAGATCTGAGCGTTGCTGAATCTCGTGTGGACAAGCCAGCCGCCGAGGCCAGGACTGTCTTGCGGATGGCTGAGAGTCCTCTCGGGCCTGGAGATTCCAAGTGAGTGGGCCTGTGGCCGTCAGCGCCGTGCTCTGCCTGACGTGACATTCGTGTTTGTGTTGGGGCTCATGTGCTAAATGGGAGCTGGGAGAGTAGTGATGGTGGCACTGCCCTTGCCTCTGACAAAAGCTTAAATGCAGCCACACTAAAGTTTTACATTGTTTTCTGTTTTGATCAGTTTACTTTTATTCTGGGGAGAAAGGAAGGAGTACAGGGCGTTCCTAGAGGATGAAAGGCCACGCAGTAGACTGTGTGTTTCCTGTGACCTGTCCGTCTCTCCTTTCAGACCCTCTGGACCCCTCTCTGCTGTCCTGAGTGGCTCTGGTTCTCCCAGCGGTGCCGTGTTGCCTCCTTGGGTACCCCCCTTCCTGTTAGGGTGCTGATGGACCCCGGGCATCTGGGTGAGTGGGTCTCCCTGGGAGCCCAGGAGGCAGGGCCTGCAGGATGTGGGCCCCCCCGGCCATAACAGTTCCTAAATTGTTCTGCACCTCAGGCTGCTCACTGTTGACCCAGGTGGCTGGCCTGAGGCGCTGCTGGTGTGGGCAGGGCCCTCCCCAGGGGCAGCAGGTGGGGTGGGACCACTGCAGAAAGTCCCCACAGGTGGATTGTGCAAGAACTAGGGCTGTGTCTGAGGCATCAGATGAGGTCAGGTGTGAGGGTGTCCCCCGCTCAGGGGTGTCACCTGCTGGAAATGAGAGCTACCAGGCCTTATTAGTTTTCTAGGGCTGCTGAAACAATGTACTACAGTCTGGGTGGTTTAAACCACAGCAATTTATTCTCTCTCAGTTCTGGAGGCTGGACGTCTAAGATCAAGGTGTCAGCAGGGATGGTTCCTCCGGAGGGCTGTGAGGGAGAGTATGTTCCAGGCCTCTCTCCCAGCTTCTGGTGGTCTGCCAGCAATCCTTGGCGTTCCTTGGCTGTGGCAGCATAATTCTAATCTTCACATGGCCTTCTCTTTGGGTGTCTGTGTGTGAATCCAAATTTCTCCTTTTCATAAGGCACCAGCCATATTGAATTAGGACCCACCCTGATGACCTCAGCTTACCTTGATCATCTGCAAAGACCTTATTTCCAAATAGGGTCACATGCACAGGTATTGGGGATTAAGGCTTGAACATTGTTTCCACAGCCATAATTCAATGCATAACAAGTCCCCTCCCGGAGTGGGGCCCATCCTCCAGCTGCCTGCTGGGTTTGGTCATTGGAGCAGCCTATGCAGAGGGGGGGAGCATCGTCATCCAGCACTCACAAGCCCATTCCCCAGCGGAGTATCTGAGTGCAGCACACAGCGGGCCACAGCTGAGTTCCCAGCCCACGTTCTGTCCCTCAGTGGGTGGTCTGCCCTCGCCTTCTAGGTCCCTGTTCTTATACAGCCCCTGCTTGGCTCCCACAGTGCCCTCCCTGATGGCTTTGCTCCTGTTGATGTCTCCATTGTCCAGTCCCTGATCCAGACCCTGTTCCCACTGCGCTAGCTCAGTGCCAACCCCACTTCACACCCTCTTTCAGGAAACTTCCTGATACACCCCATTCTATCCTCCTTGTGCCTCTCAACCCTGCAGCTCCTTCAACTATTTGTTGAGACCTTATAAGCAGCGGTAACACCATTGATTTGCCACGTGTGGGCCGAGCACTGTGCTGAGGGCGCTACATAGAGACTCCTTGAATGCTCGCTACCGAAGGCCAGTGAGAAAACTGAGTTCTTGCCCATGTGCACAGAATCCGAAAGTGGTAGAACCAGAATTCAGACCCACCACGTGTGGCTCCAAAGCCTCAGCCACCTCCGTCACTGTGTGGGGCCCTGTCCCGGGTGCTGGGGAAACTGAGGCAGCTAGGACTCAGCCCTATGCATGGGCGTGCTTACACAGCCTTCTTGGCCAGGTCATCTCTTGCTGGGACATGACATGTACCACCCACCCTTGGCCCCCTCAAGCCCTTGATTGACTTTTTCAAATATTATTTTTATCAACATAATACGTATGCATATTTTAAGAAGTCCAAGAGTTCTAAAAGTTTTATGAAAAAAATAGCAGACGCCTGGCTGCCACCCCCACTGTCTCTGTGCAGTTCTTGCCCTATCCCACTCCCCATGGACCACTGCTTCTTGCTTTCAGCCATTTCTTCTGGGATTTATCTCCATATTGGTAAAGAATATGTATGATCTGTTATTTCTGGACTTCCTATTGTGATAAAGATGATTTTAACTCATAGTTTTCCCTTGGTAGAGCTGCTCTATCTAACCCGTATAGTTATTATCATAATTTTGGGATAAATCCTTATAAAATATGTATCAGTCAGGATAGGTTAGATCATGAGACAGTAACAAACATCCTCCAGATCTAAGACAGTTCAATTTCTGATGAGTGTTTATTTCCATTTCTTGTTCTTGTTTTTGAGTGATTTCAAGAGAAGATGCAAGGGCTGGCCCAGCTGGCCCGTACATGCACTCTGCTCTGCGGGTTCGGATCCTGGACACAGACCTGCACACTGCTCATCACGCCATGCTGTGGCGGTGTCGCATATACAAAATACAGGAAGATGGGCACAGATGTTAGGTCAGCAACAGTCTTCCTCAAGCAAAAAGAGGAAGATTCCACAAGCAAAAAGATGTTAGCTCAGGGCTACTCTTCCTCACACACACACACACACCACACCCACACACACACACAAAAGAGAAGACACAGAAAGGTTGTGACCCACTTCTTAAAAACCAGAAGTTGGCCCGGTCACTCTTCAGCTCACTCTGGTCGGCTTCCCACCCTCTCCTCTCACTGAGAATTGTCATCCAGTCACCAACACTCAGTGTTGACAAATCAACTCACGATTTTCTGTCCTCGTCATCCCGAATATCGCACTGTGTTGGATGTCATTTTTCTCAGTCTCTTTGCCTTATTCTCAATCTTAGGGGGAAAGTCTCCAGTTTATCACTGTTAAATATGTTACCTATAGTTGATTTTTTTAAAATTGAGGTAAAATTCACATAACATGAAATTAACCATTAGCCATCTTAAAGTGTGTAATTTAGTAACATTTAGTGCATTTCCAAGTGTTGTACATCTATCACCACTATTGAGTTCCAAGACATTTTCATCATCCCAGAAGGAAACACTCATAACCATTAAGCGGTCACTCCCCATTCTCCCCCGACCCAGTTGCTTGGCAGCCATCTCTCTGCTTTCGTCTCTATGGATTTACCTATTCTGGATGTTTCCTATAAATTAGAAATCATACAATGTGAGACCTTTTGTATTTGGCTCCTTTGACTTAGCATAATGTTTATGAGTTTCGTCCGTGTTGTAGCATGTATCAGCACGTCATTCCTTTTTATGACTGAATACTATTTCATTGTGTGGATATACCGCTTTTGGTTATCCATTCAGCCATTGATGGACATTTGGGTTGTTTCTACCTTTTGGCTATTGTGAATAATGCTGTTTTGAACATGTGTGTACAAGTATTTGTTCGAATACCTGTTTTCAATTATTTTGTGTATATACCTGGGAGTGGAATTTCTGGGTTATATGGTAATTTTTGAGGACCTACCAAACTGTTTTCCACAACTGCTGTACCATTTTACATTCTCACCAGCATTATACAAGAGTTCAGTTTTTTCTCATCCTCACCAACACTTGTTCTTTTCTTTTTTTAAAAAATTATGGCCAACCATATCAGTGTGAAGTGGTATCTTATTGTGGTTTTGATTTGCATTTCCCTAATAGTTGTAGGTGTTTTTGTAGAAGCTCTTTATCAAGCTAAGGGTGTTCTCTATTCATATATATGTATATTTTTTTTTTGGTGAGGAAGATCAGCCCTCAGCTAACATTTGCCAATCCTCCTCTTTTTGCTGAGGAAGACTGGCCGTGGGCTAACATCCGTGCCCATCTTCCTCTGCTTTATATGGGACTCTGCCACAGCATGGCTTGACAAGCGGTGCATTGGTGCGCGCCTGGGATCAGAACCCCAGGCAGCTGCAGCAGAGCGTGCGCACTTAACCGCTGTGCCACCAGGCCGGCCCAATTCATATTTTATTTTAAATCAAGAATGGGTATTAGATTTTATCAAATGCTTTTTCTGTATCAATTGATATGATCATATGATTTTTCTTCTTTAGTCTGTTGTGTGGTGGATTACACAGATTGATTTTCTCATGTTCTCATATTGCATCCTGGAATAAATCCCACTTGGTCATGGTATATAATTCTTCTTATACATTCTTGGCTTCTATTTGCTAATACTTTGTTGAGGATTTTTAAGTGTATGTTCATGAAGGGTATTGGTCTAGAGTTTTCTTTTCTTGTAATGTCTTTGTCTGGTTTTGATATTAGGGTAGTACTGGCTTCATAAAATGAGTTAGGAAGTGTTCCTTCCTCTTCTAATTTCTGAAATTGATCATAGAGAATTGGTATCATTTCTTCTTTAAATGGTAAAATTCATGTGAGAAACCATCTGGGCCTGGCGATTTCTTTTTGGAAGGTTATTAATTATTGATTCAATTTCTTTAATACATATAGCTATTCAGTTTGTCTATTTCTTCTTGTATGTGTTTGGTAGTGTATATCTTTTAAGGAATTGGTCTGTTTTATCTAAATTTTCAAATTTTGGGGCATAGAGTTCTTTGTACTGTTCCTTTAGTATCTTTTTAATGTCTATGGTATCAGTATTGATGACCTCTCTTTGCTTTCTGATGTTAGTAATTTGTGTCTTTGCTCCTTTTTCTTGGTTAGCTTGGTCAAAAACACAGATTTGGATTTGTTGATTTTCTCTATGATTTGCCTGTTTTCAATTTCGTTGATTTATGCTTTAATTTTTATTATATTTCTTCTGCTTGCTTTAGGCTTAAATTGTTCTTCATTTTGTTTCCTAAGGTAGAAGCTTAGGTTATTGATTTTAGATCTTTCTTCTTTTCTAAATTTACATTTAATGCCATAAATTTCTCTCTAAGCAGTGCTTTTGCTACATTCTACAAATTTTGACAAGTGGTATTTTCATTTTCATTTAGTTCA